AATGCTGCTCAGCACACACTGAGTAACTCCAGGGCAAGTCTCAGCCCTAATGGAGGACCTATTAATAGTATGGGGGAGGGAAGCAGAAGAGGATTTCCAAACTGGGTGCCAGAAGACAACTGTAGACAGGGATGGGGGGGTGTACTTGTAAGGTCTGTAGGAACTGCAGGAGGGGGTCAGGGTCCAGTTTCTGTGCCAGCATGTAGAACCAAACACCTTGATCACTGGGATAGAATTAAGACCACTGGCCTGGAGTAAATCAACTCAAAATTCTCACAAGAGAGCCAAGGCAGTGACCAAGTATAACTATAGGTGACTTCAAAAAGCTAATGAACACTACCACAGTCTAGGAGCTGACAAGAGGGAAGGTCTTGAAGCACTGAAAGCGGCCAACAATAATAAAGTGGACCAATGATACCACCTGTATTCCTTTTTTTTTTTTTTGGAGACAGACTCTCACTATGTCGCTCTCAGTAGAGTGCCATGGCGTCACATCAATATCAAACTCTTTTGGGCTTAAGTGATTCTCTTGCCTCAGTCTCCTAAGTAGCCGGGACCACAGGCACCCACCACAATGCCCAGCTATTTTTTAGTTATAGTTGTCATTGATGTTTACCTGGCTCAGGCCGGGTTCAAACCCACCACCCTTGGTGCATGTAGTCGGTACCTCCCCCCCAACCTGTATTCTATGTACCCTGAGCAAAGTCTATTTCCTTTCTGACCCTCAGTTGCCCATCAGTAAAAAGGGGACATCACACATCCTAAGTTTGTCCTGAGGCCCTTTATAAAGCACCAAAGACAGGGCTTGCTGCAAGGTACAGACAAAATGCCCACTCCCTTAACTTTTTAAGGAAAAATGTAAATGTACACAAAAGCAGAAGAAATACCATAATCCCTGGGTTCAACATTACCACCAGGACAGGCGAGGTGGCTCATGCCTGTTATCTCAGCACTTGGGAGGCCAAGGCGGGTGGACTGCCTGAGCTCACAGGTTTAAGACCAGCATGAGCCAGAGCAAGACCTCTAAAAAATAGCCAAGCATTGTGGCGGGTGCCTATAGTCCCAGCTACTTGGGAGGCTGAGGCAAGTGGATTACTTGACCCCAAGAGACACCATGGCACTCTACCTAGAGTGATCAAGAAAGACTCTGTCTCAAGAAAAAAAAAAAAAATTACCACGATTTGGCAATATTTGCTTAAATTATCCTTCCCCTCTAAAACATTTCCCTCTCAGGTGGCACCCATAGCTCAGTGGGCAGGACACCAGCCACATACACCAAGGCTGGTGGGTTAAAACCCAGCCTGGGCCAGCTAAAACACAAGAATGGTAACAACAACAACAACAAAAATAACCGGGCATCATTAATGTATACAGCTATGATTTAATTAAGAAAAGAAAAGAAAAAATCTAGCCAGGCATTGTGATAGGTGCCTGTAGTCCCAGCTACTTGGAAGGCTGAGGCAAGAGAATCACTTGAGCCCAAGAGTTTGAGGTTGCTGTGAGCTTAACACCATAGCACTCTACCCAGGGTAACAGCCTGAGACTCTGTC